AAAGGTTCAATCAGTCAATTTCAACTTCTCACGGGGGAAAAAAAATATCTTGCAAAGTTGGAATTGATTGATTGAACTTTTTAGCCCCACCCAGTCTGCCGTTATTACTGCAGCCACGGCTACCCAATTGGCCACCCCCAGCCAATGGGCCACACCCACCCAGTACTCGACGATGCATAAGTGGGTTTTGTGTTGCAGTTTGGGCACTCGGTCTCTAAAAGGTTCGCCATCACTGGACTAGGATAGTCTCCAGACCCTTTGAAGGAAGTCATGCCAGTTAGATGGGGTGAGGGAGGCAGAAGGAGGCAGCTTCTGTCCCCAAGTGGGCCGTGTTTGAAGTTGCTCACCCCCCCATAGGAATTCCACAACATCCACCTTCAGTTGTGCCATCACCATTTCTCGTGTTCTCCTTAACTATTCCATTTATTTGCATTAGTAAATTCGCACATAAGAGAAGTCCTGGAACTGGATCTGGCCTTCCCAAGGCTAACTGAAAATCATAAGCAGGAGACCGAGACAGACACTGTCTGGTCTCACCCAGCAATGGTGATGACATCGTTCCAGATAGCAGGGAAGGTTTCCTGGGGGAATCCCTGGATGGTCCTAGCATGAAGGAGAGTGGATCCTATAAGGGTCTCAGGTGGAAGAAAAGAGCCTCATCTTGAGGAAGAAGGAATCTTCCTGGCTTGCCCAGTTCAGTCAAAAACAGGCACCCGGAAGGATGGACCCTGTGACCTGGACCCTGTGACCTGGCACAGCAGAAGACGGGAGTCAGTGTTTCTGGAGAGTGGAGAAGAGGGAACCCCGGGCTTTGTGGGGACACGGCCGCAGGGGAGGGAAAGGCAGTGCACCAGGAAGGTCTTCCAGAGCCAGTCAGTATTGAGATCCCTGATTTGCTTTCAGTACTAGAAGAGAGGAGGAGGAGAAGGGTTCCCACGGGGAGGGGGGGGATTGACCCTTGGAATCACTGAGCCTGGACCCTGCTGGGGTTGAGTTTGTGGAGCCACTTCTGTTTTTGTTTTTTTAGCCCAGGTTGCCCTGCCCTGATAAGCAGGCACATTTCAGCAAAATGTCACCACTTGCTCTCAGGAGACCCCAGCCTGGCCATCAGAATTCCCTCTGAACACCTTGGAGTCAATGGTCAACCTTGTATCTACCATCCCATGTTGCAGTTTTTACGTTTAATTCATATCAACCCCGTGTGGCACCTTTGCAAGTGTTTTGGGGGAGGGGGCGAGGGTGGATGCCGTTTGTCCAGCTGCCAAATTAACAAATTCCATATGTCCCACCGTGCTTTATTTGTGTCAAAAATTTAGTATTTTACTAAAATTAAGCTGATATTTAAAATCCAAGAGGTTTGTGTGTAACTTGACTGAAGCTGTAAAATATTTTTGTTTTGGCTAATATTCTACTGAGAATAAGAGATATTTTCTGCTGGAATTTGAAGTTGTCTGTGTTTTTGAGAAAGAGGAAGAGAAAGAAAGAAAGAAAGAAAGAAAGAAAGAAAGAAAGAAAGAAAGAAAGAAAGAAAGAAAGAAAGAAAGAAAGAAAGAAAGAAAGAAAGAAAGAAAGATTCCTTTAAAGTTTGGATTATTATTTCTCTTTTGTTCTTTCCCATGTCATGCTTGTGGGGTATGCAACTACCAGTTTGCTTTTGAGTTGTTTATGTTATGCCAACTTTTCCCCCCCAGAAAGTTATAAAATAAAAAGTAAATATTATTTTGAGGAAACCTCAATTTATTCTAAAACAGGTCTTCAATGAGAGGGGAATAATTTGAAAGCAAAATCTCTGCTCAGATGTTCAAATCTGACAGCAGTAACAGTTATATTACATTTATTACTTTTTAGAAAACATCAGGGCCAAAACTGTTGAACTTGACATGTGAAATTTAATCATGAATTTCAAAATGAACTTTCAGCAAGATTTAGGATACTTCTTTAGAAATATATGTTAACCTCAGTTTTTAAAAAAAAAGAGTCAAGAAGAAAGTCCTCTGTAAAAAAATGAAATTTCAGATATGGGTGTTTTTAGCTTCAACTCTAAAAAATATTGGGTAATCTGCATCAGAGTGTTAAAAATTCTGAGTAGAAAACCCTACAATTGTTCTATGATTCTTTAGGGTTCTTGCATTGAGACTCCATTCCCTAAATGATACCTTCTAACTCAAAATTTAAAATCTAGCACCCTTGAGATGATGGTTTCCTCAAGACCTTCAGAGAGAATGCAACTCTGGAGCAATACAAGACCCATGTAGCACTTACCTGGAGAACGTGGGTCTTGGAGATAAGAGCCCATTGCTTAACATTCCAACTCCTCAGAAATGGGGGGCCTCTGAAGGACTCGTGCTCTTCTCCTTCTCACTGCTCAATCCAAGGACATGGAGTCCTCGGTCAACTGAGGATTCAGGAACTTAAGCAATTGAAAGTTGCATCATCAAAGTCATTGGCAACACTTGATGGTTATGTGGCATTGTTGCTTGTCCAAGCATCACCCCTGGAGATGGCATGACCTTGACTTCTTCCCAAATATTCAGATGGTGCCTAAGGAAACCAGAAGGGCTGCTCTTTTCTCAGTCCAAATGATGAAGCTGCCTCCGTTTTCTCTGATGTTTGCAAATAACACAACCCTTCCTTTACAGGCTCTTTCAAAGCCCACAGCAAGGTTTTCTGAGGGATGCTTTGGCTAAGGTCCCACCCCTCCCCGAAAGCTTCTCTGTCACATCAGGCAGCATGTGGTCATCCCACGACTCACCATCGGCCCACCATTTTGCTCGGAGACAGTTGTCCAATTAGCAGGGTTCATGAAGGAGAGAAAGCAAGAGAGAGATCCAAATAACAAATTGTGCCCCTCCGCACCTCCCATTGAGTGACTATGAGAAAAACATGGGAAAGGTTACCCAGGGGAAGACACACATTCTTGGTAAGCCTTCTTAAGGAAACAGATGAGACATAGTTTTCAGGACATAACTCCACATGATTTCATCAATAATCATCTTTACCCTTCAGTAATAACAGACACGACCACCTACATACAACAAGGAGGGCCGCTGTCCTGCTGTTTTTTTGCCTAGAGCAGCCTTGCCCAGTCTCGGGCCTTGGATTCAACTCCCCCGGCCCTTGTCCTGATGGGATTCCGTCCAGCACATCTGATTAGCACCAGATTGTGGGGGATTCTCCTAGGTGGAGCAAGGGTGAGGTAGAAAGCTTGGGGACCTTGCATAGTTGAGCTGAAGGGGAATTTTGCCTTTCCTGTAGCTCTGTGCTTGTTTCCACACAAATGTTCAAAGCAAAATGGGGATCTGTGTTGCTCAGCAGGGTCTGTGACAATTCACTGCAGCCGACTCGGCACGGGACAACTCGCCAGGGGACAAGAGTTACATTAATATGAAAGAAATGGTGGAATAGAATCATCAAAGAAAGGACGCAAAAGGAGGGACAAAATAAAATGTGAATGACAAAAATTTAAATATTTTTAAATTTATTTTAAATAATTAAATTGAATTGTTCAGTTGTCCCGCAGTGAGTTGGTCGTGGTAAGGTGGCCACAGCGAGTTGGCTGTGATGAGTTGTTCCATTCCTTGCACAGCATGTAGCCCCCGTGTCAACTCTCAAAATAGCAAGACTGTAGTATTTAAGACGGCTTGATCAGGAGCAGACAAGGAGAACAATCCTAGTTATTTTGGCATTAATTCCAAATGAATTCATTTGTTGTTCTGAAATGCATCTGAAAAGTGCCACCTCGCAGCCAAGGTGGCCCTTTCGTTAACCCCACCTCAAAATACCAATTATTTTTCTTTCCTTTGGAACTACCGGTATTATGTTGTGGTTACTCTATTAATACAGTAGATTTCCTTGTACCCTCTTCAATGTGTTACTGATTGGCCTGCTATTTTTTGACCAGTTGATGATAACCCTAAAAAGCATTCACAGATACACACAAAACACAACCCACTATATAACTGGCCATTTAAGAGCACTGCCTGAACACAGCCATGAGACAGAAATCCATTGATCAAAAATTGGTGTTAAAACCTCCCACTTCTAGGTCAGGATCTCGCTGACCAGACAAGAAAAAAGCAGAATTTGATTGGCCTTCTGTATCTGCTAATCCTGAGTTTGTATATTTGTTTTGTTTGCTTGATTTTTTTTTATCCCATCTTGGCAACTACAATGTCACAATGAAAGTAACAACAGAATTTAAGCAACTTAAAATCCAAATCATGAAAGTGAAACCCACCTAGGGGCAGAAGTAATAAGAACAAGAAGAGGCACCGGTGATATTCAAAAAAATCTCTATTCTTAATAGTTTCTTAAAATTCCTGGGAGGGCAGCTTGAACACCTTGGGGAGTGCCTTCTAGCTCCCTGGGCACCTGGGAATGTGGGACAATGAGAAGCCCCTGCCTCCATGTCCTAACAACCAGGCTGAACCCAGTTGGGGTACCAGGGCCCAAGCCATGGAGGGCTTTACAGGGTATACTTTAAGTTTCTCCCTGAAACAAAGTCCCTGGCTGACAATGCAGTAAGGGAATCAATTCCCTGATCACCAAAGTGCAGGCCCAGATACGGATTCAGCCTCATGCTCAGTCAAGCTCCCGTTTTGTCTTTCTCCACCGGTGCTCCCCGTGGCTCCCCACGCTGCCCCCGAACTCGGGCAATTCTCAGTTTGGTTGCAGGGGAGTCAATCCAAGGGCCCCACTTGCTGAGGGCATCCGCAGAGTGGAGCTACTCAGTAAATGGAGACGCATCCTCCATTCCGCTGCTGCCGCCGGTCCATCCATGCTGGGCCCCTTGCTGTCCTGGAAGCCTTGCGATGGCTTCATCCGGCACCAGCAGAGCCTCTGTGTAAGTACTGATCTGGAGAGGTGCCCCTAGCCAGGCGATGGCAGTGGGACCCCCTCACCCTTTCCCAGCACTTGGGTGATGTGGCCCCTTTTGCTGGGGCTCCTCCTTGTGTTTTCCTCTGCACTGCTTTTAATTATTTTGCTTTTTCATCCAACAGAAAGACAAACACGACACTTCCAACTTCGATAAGGAGTTCACGAGGCAGCCCGTGGAACTCACGCCCACCGACAAACTCTTCATCATGAATTTGGACCAGAATGAGTTTGCAGGCTTCTCCTACACTAACCCTGAGTTTGTTATTAACGTTTAGGCAAATATTCCTACTGTTGTATTTGTAGGGCTGAACCCCAGGATGCTGTGTGTGTGTGTGTGTGTGTGTGTGTGTGTGTGTGTGTGAATGTATGCCTGAACCCACCCATGCTCTCACAGTCTTTAGTCTTCCGGGGTTGATGGGGCCCATGATCCCAGATAAGAGCAGAGGTGGCTGGCTGTTTTCCGTCTCCCTTCCTCTTTGTATGCACAAATGGTAGAGATGCCCCGATCCATGGGGGACTCCCGCTTGTTCTAGGGAAAGAGTGGCTGGCATTCTCAGAATCTCCAGCCAGGATGTTTCTGTCTGATTTCAAGACTATGGTCTCAAAGTACCAGACTTACTTCTGTCTTTGTGTTTTGCAATTTCTCTGAAACTGAAGCACTGATTCTTTTTCTGTCTTGGAATGCTAAGCATGCTTTATGCCCTCCACACATATGGCTGCAGCTGTGACCCCGTATTATTGTTTGGTTGTTGTTCCAAGATGTCCAAGAATCCAAAAAGTCAACATGATGGCCCCACCCCCTTTTATATTATGCACCATTATTGATACACACACCCCAAACAACCTGTTGTTCAGGCCAGAACCAAATCTGTCGGTGTGGAGAACTTTGTGTCCTACAGTTGTTTCCAAAATGAACATCTCCTTCTTTAGTGGCTGTGAACACACCTTTAGAACCAAATTTCATTCCCAACCCCAAATTCATACAGTTGAAGGGTTTACTTAGGGCTCTGCTGCTTTGAGGGCAGGAGGAAAGAAGCCAAAAAGGAGAAAATAAATAATAAGAGGGCATTTAAACATCACTAGGGTAATTTGCAATCTTTGGTTAAATCTGGCTTTGAAAAACAAACTTTTGCTTATGTTATTATTTATTTGTTTCAATTTTGAGGCTGCCCCACTCAGGGCTCAGCCACCATCCTAGCCCACCAGCTCTTTAACAATTTGCAGCAATTCCAGAGGATGGGAGGGGTCCTGATCTCCTGGGGTGGGTGGGTGGGGGAAGGATCCAGTGGTGGGATTCAAATAGGTGAACAACCGGTTCTCTGTGTGGAAGCCGCTTCCGGAAGTCCATTCTGGGCTTCGGCAACAAAAAATTAGCTACCGGTTCTGCTGAAGTGGTGCGAACTGGCTGAATCCCACCACTGGAAGGATCCCATTCCACAAGAGTGAAATGGTGGCTGTTAATCGTTCTGGAAGAATTAGCAAAATTCCTGCCCCCTCCCCCCTTCATTGGTGACTTGAGCATATGGTGGAATGTGTGTTCACAGGAGACGAACAACTCATTTGGGCTGATTTTATCTGATATAACCTGGATTCCGGTGCTGACTAATTTCTCCAGGCATCTGAAACCACACAAACTCTTTCCAAGGTCTGCTATTTCCACAATTGGTCCCACCAAACCATATGTGTTCTCTCCAAGTGCTGTCTTCAGAATCTTGCCAGTATTTGTATTACTTGGTACCAACATTCTTAACGGCTGAAAAATGCCAACGTGCCCAAAGAGGAAGGCAGGTGTCTCTGGAAAAAAAATGTATCTTTATTCGTGTTGTGTCCAAATGACAAATTGCAGGCTGTTTTTCCTAGAGTGCCTTCTTGTTTTGTTTGTTTGACTGATATTGAGTTCTCTCCTGATGCAAAGGCTTAGTGTTCTGTGTGTGTCAGAAATAGATTTCTTGTAAATATTCTGGGAAGATAGTTCTGCTCTGCCTCCTTTTACTAAAGCTATGGAGAAACAAAAGTTCTTCACCTCCTCAGTGAAGGCCAGGGCAAGAGAGAACTTCTGAAGTCGGGCAACCTGATCCTACGGAAGTTGAGGAGGAGGACTTCTGGGTCACAGGAGGATGGCACGTTGGCCTGGACAAAAGTCTGGAGGCTGCAGGAAATGGGGCTGGGGTGGCAGCTTCGGACTTGGGACTCTCCTTTTGCAACCAGTTGCCCTTGAAGACCAAACCAAGAGCCCATCTCCCCAGCACCGCCACCCTTTGGCAATAATCCATTGAAGAGAGTATGGCTTAATTCACTTGAATGCCTGTAAGAATATCTCAGAATTGGGGGCACAGGGATGAGTGAAAAGGACAGCCCAAAGGGAGGCAATGCCAGTCCTTGGCAGGCAGAGTCCAGCTTCCTGCTCTTAACAAAAGAGGTGACCCTGCCAAGTGAGGAGGGGAGCAGCTCCGGCCTCCTGTCTCCACCTGGCCCTTGAGAATTGCTCTTGGGGGAGGAGAGAAACCAGCGGCCAAGGCTTCCAGGAAACTGGTCAGGGTTGGCCATGCTCTGCGGCCACTTCAGCATCAATGTGATTTTTCACAACTTCCATATTTTGCCTGAAGCCACCTTGAATTCTTCTATGTAGATATTCTTAATTTGGGGAGCATGTATCATATTTTCAAATATATTACTGTGGAGTTAAACACTTTGGTGGATGTGGGTTGCATCTTGTTTCCATTCTTTCTTATATTAAAATGTCAGCACACTGTGTTTTGAAACTCAGGCAAGGCGTTCGAATGGGAATGTGTTTGGCAGCACCTACAAACAGTGGGTTCCTTCCTCAGCTGCTGGGTGCTCCGTGGGCCTTCCTTCCGAGGAGAAGGCTTTGGACCCGAGCCTTGGGGTACAAGGGAACAGACAAAAAGGTTGGGAAGCCCAGTGACACACTCTTTCCCTCCCTCAGATGTGTGTTTGCAGAATGAGCCCCTCAGTTCCCCTGCAGGCCCATCTTGTCAGGTCTCGGCTGCCCTTCCAAGGGCTCTCCCAATCTCAAGGAGAGGCTTCAGTTTAATCAGGACAACCTGCTGGTCAGGGAATTCTAGGAGCTAAAATATGCATATTTTTAAGTTGCCCAGGTTGAGAAATGCTTTAAAGCAGGGGTGTCAAACTGCCGGCCCACAGGCCGGATGTTTCACGCCAAAACTGCGCCCACCCCATTGCTGGCAATGGGGAGAAAGTCGCAACATGTCACGACACGTCACGTGACATCGCAAGTTTGACACTCATGCTTTAAAGGGTCAGATAGAATTGCAGAACCTGCTACATCTCAAAAGTCAAGATAGAATAAGCAGGGTGATGCCCCAGAGAATTACCTGGAACTCTACTCACTCCAGCCGTTTCTGCACATTTGTTGTATACATCCCTGAATGGCTGCAGAGAGGTAATAATTAGGACAGAGTAAGAAACTGAAGTGCCCCCAAAGATCCTCTTCTCAGGAGGACTAACATTCACATGCTGTTAATCATGGACTGGCAAACCACTGCAGCCTCAGACCATGTTGGATCTGTTCAGGGCTTCATCTAACCCTGCAGGTTTATGGGCTGAATCAGTGGTTTTTAGTTCATGTAGGTGCACCATGGTGTCCTCTTTCCCTGTCCTATTGCCACTGAACCTTCTTCCCTACAGTGAGACCGGGCACTTTGGCCCCGAGGATCAGCTCTGGCTGCCAGGAACCACCAGACAATGGGAAGAAAACTCTCATTTGGGGAGGGGGCACACTTCCCAAGACCCAGGGTCTCTGTGGCCTCTCTGCATGAGCTCCTCAGTGCCAATGTTGTGCTGGACATGCCAGGAGCTGTCTCTGTCCTCACTTCTTCAGTGGGTACAGTTGTTGAATGGGCAGCAGACCCAGGCAGCTTCCCTGCTCATGAACAACTCTGTAATTACACATTCATGCTACTTGAAATAACATAGCTGGATCCCTGTGGCTCTTTCCAAAGGCTGGCCTTGCTCCAAGGGAGCTGCCTTGCCAGAGGGGAGGGGAGGGGGACCAGAGGTAGGCCAGGAATCTCTACTCCTTCACAAAAATGTAAATTGAGCTTTGGGCTATGGAAAGGCTATCTAGAGATTCTGGGTAATGAAGAGAGACAGGGCTGGAATAAGAGGTGGTTTCATACACATAAGAGGATAAGCAGTGCCGTGCTGGATCGGACCCCTGCCTCTCAACTCCAACGGTCTCTTCTCCAGGATTTCAATGTCATTGGGCGATCACCCAATGGTTGTAGCATTCGGGAAGGGGACACTAACTTCCCTTGTCCACCGTATCCACACCATGCACAATTTTGTATGCCGCAATCATTCTCTGTCTTGCCCAAGAGCCCCAAATGATACCATCTTTCCTCATAAAGAAGCTGCTGCAGCCCCTTGACCCTCTGAGGTGACCTCCTCTGAACCTTCTCCAGCTCCACTATCTCCTTTTGAAGTGTGGCAACCAGAAATGCCCACCATAACCCAGATGCAGTCTCACCAGAGATTCATGTAAGGGCATTATTATACGAGCATCTCTGTTTTCCTCTCATGCTTTTTTAAGGCAGATGCACACTGTCAGTAACTTAATTGAACTGTTTATATTAGTCCAAGCCTCTTTCTTCATGGTTGTTGTTACTGTTACGCCATTACACATTATTCTCTGCCAAAAAAGGACACAGGACATTTTGGATCAGGTGAGGGTGGTGGAATTGGGCAAGGATTATGATCACACGTGTCCTGGCATGCAAGCGTGAGAGAGGCTTGGAGGTCTTTGATGTGTGGGGTGGTACATTACCCCTTGTAGGGCATCTTTCAGGGGCCAAAGGCTGATCTCATCGCATCCTCCACAGATTGTGAGTACTTACAACAACCCGCCTCTTGGAAATCTTGAAAGACTCTCGGGCACTGCCTGATTGCAATGCGAATGCTTTGACCCACTTGCCAGTTGCCTCTTCCTCCTAGGGAATTAATGGGGTGTGAAGCAAACTGAATATTGACCTGCGAGTATGAAGGGATGAGAGTTCCAGAACTGCTTCTTTTCTTCCATTCTTTTCTCCAGACAGCAGCATTTTGGGGGAGGTTAATTGGATATCCTACCTTGTTTTCCCCAAAATAAGACCTATCCCAAAAATAAGCCCTAGCTTGATTTATATGTGTGCACCTAATATAAGCTCTACCCCCAAAATAAGCCCTAGTTAAGACCTCACCCACTCCATCCCAACATCACCCACTCCATCCCAACGAGGTGGGGTGAGGCGCATGC